AACAGGCCTGGCAGTCAAGACCACACCAAGCTTGGCAGTCAAGGCCACACCAGGCCTGGCAGTCAAGGGCCACACCAAACCTGGCAGTCAAGACCACAAACCCGGCCCGGCAGTCATGACCACACCAGGCCTGGCAGTCAAGACCCCACCAGGCCTGGGAGTCAGACCCACCAGGCCTGGGAGTCAGACCACACCAGGCCTGGCAGCAGACCACCCAGGCCTGGCAGTCAGACCACACCAGGCCTGGCAGCAAAGACCACAACCAGGCCTGGCAGTCAGACCAAAACCCGGCCTGGCAGTCAAGACCAAAAACCCGACCTGGAGTCAAGACCACACCAGGCCTGGCAATCAGACCACACCGGCCTGGCAGTCAAGGCCACAACCAGGCCTGGAGTCAAGACCACACCAAGGCTGGCGTCAAGACCACACCCGGCCTGCAGTCAAGGTCCCCACCAAGCCGGCAGTCAAGCACACCAGGGCCCCGGCAGTCAAGACCACACCAGCCGTGGCAGTCAGGCCACAACCAAACTGGCAGTATCCACACCAGGCCTGGCAGTCAAGACCCAAAAAACCCGGCCTGCAGTCAAGGCCACACCAGGCTGGCAGTCAAGACCAACACCAGGCCTGGAAGTCAAGCCACACAGGGCCCGGCAGGCCAACACACCAGGCCCGGCATCAAGACCACAAACCCGGCCTGGGAGTCAAACCACACCAGGCTGCAGTCAAAACCACCAAGGGCCCGGGAGTCAAGACCAACCAGGCCTGGCAAGTAAGACCCCAAACACTGGCAGTCAAGACACCAACCCAAGCCCGCAGTCAAGACCACATCCCGGGCCTGGCAGTCAAGACCCACCAGGCCTGCAGTCAAGACCCACCAGGCCTGGGTCCCCAAAACCACACAGGCCTGGCAGTCAATACCACACCAAGGCCCGCAGTCAAGACCACACCAGGCTTGCTGGGCAAGACCCACCAGGCCTGGCAGTCAAGACCCACCAGGCCTGGCGTCAAGACTCACCAGGCCTGGCAGTCAGGGCCACACCAGGCCTGGCATCAGACCCACACAGGCCTGGCAGTCAGACCTTTCCCCAGGCCTGGCAGTCAAGACCACACCAGGCCTGGCAAGTCAAGACCTACACCAGGACCTGGCAGCAAGACCACACCCGGCTTTTCAGTCAGAAACCCCCCATGCTTTGGGAGTCAAGACCTCACCAGGCCTGGGAGTCAAGACCACACCAGGCCGGGAGTCAAACCACACAGGCCCCGGCAGTCAAGACAACCAGGGCCCGGCGGGCAAAAACCACCAGGCCTGGCAGTCAAGACCCACCAGGCCTGGCATCAAGACCAACCAGCCGGCGGGCAAGACCCACCAAAAACCCGGCAAACAAACCACACCAGGGCCCGGCATCAAAACCCCCGGCCCGGGGTCAAGACCCACCAGGCCCGGCATTTAAACCCACCACCCGGCGCAAACCCACCAGCCCCCAGTCAAACCTCCCGGGGGTGGGAGCAAAACCCACCAGGCCTGGCATCAAAAACCACACCAAGGCCCCCCAGTAAAAACCCCCAAGGCCTGGGACGACCCACCAGGTGGGTAAGCCTCACCAGGCCTGGGTAAAAAAAAACCCACCCTCCTGGATACGCCAACCCGGCCCTTTGGGAAGACCACACCCGGCGGGCGGTTCAAAAAGGGGCCACATAAGGCCTGGAGCGACCACACCCGGCGGGTCCCGACCCCCGGCGGGGTGACCCACACCCGTGGCGGTGAAGACCAACCCAGGCCTGGGTAAGCCAAAAAAGGCCCTGGATAAGCCCACCAGGCCTGATAAAACCCCAACCCGGCCTGGATCCGACCACACCCGGCCTGGAGCGCCAAACTGGCGTTAAGACCACCCCAACCGGCAGAGACCCTCACCAGGCTTGTAAGACCCAAGGCCGGATGAAGAAACCCAACCCGGCCTGGGTAAGAACCCCCACCCGGGTGGGGTGACCAAACAGGCCTGGATAAACCACAAGGCTGGAGCGACCACCCCAGTGGCGGGACACCCAAACCCGCCTGGGCCCAGAAAAACCACACCACCCCCCGACCCAACCAGGCCTGCATCAAGACCCACAGGGCCGGCGTAAAACCCCGGCCCGGCGTCCCAAAACCCAAAACCCCGGGAGCAAGCCACACCCGGCCCCGGCGCAAGCCACACCAGGCCCAAAAACCCCTCCAGGGCCTGGCAGTCACAACAATTTATTAATCAAAATACAATTCGAATCACTTCAACTGTTTAAATAAAAATCTTCATTATACCAGATTAATCAGAGAATCAACAGTGACTTGTGGTGACTGACCTTCATCAACAGTGACTTGTGGTGACTGACCTTCATCAACAGTGACTTGTGGTGACTGACCTTCATCAACAGTGACTTGTGATGACTGACCTTCATCAACAGTGACTTGTGGTGACTGACCTTCATCAACAGTGACTTGTGGTGACTGACCTTTATCAACAGTGACTTGTGGTGACTGACCTTCATCAACAGTGACTTGTGATGACTGACCTTCATCAACAGTGGGCTTGTGGTGACTGACCTTCATCAACAGTGACTTGTGGTGACTGACCTTCATCAACAGTGACTTGTGATGACTGACCTTCATCAACAGTGACTTGTGGTGACTGACCTTCATCAACAGTGACTTGTGATGACTGACCTTCATCAACAGTGACTTGTGATGAGTGACCTTCATCAACAGTGACTTGTGATGACTGACCTTCATCAACAGTGACTTGTGATGACTGACCTTCATCAACAGTGACTTGTGATGACTGACCTTCATCAACAGTGACTTGTGATGACTGACCTTCATCAACAGTGACTTGTGATGACTGACCTTCATCAACAGTGACTTGTGATGACTGACCTTCATCAACAGTGACTTGTGGTGACTGACCTTCATCAACAGTGACTTGTGATGAGTGACCTTCATCAACAGTGACTTGTGATGACTGACCTTCATCAACAGTGACTTGTGATGACTGACCTTCATCAACAGTGACTTGTGATGACTGACCTTCATCAACAGTGACTTGTGGTGACTGACCTTCATCAACAGTGACTTGTGGTGACTGACCTTCATCAACAGTGACTTGTGATGACTGACCTTCATCAACAGTGACTTGTGATGACTGACCTTCATCAACAGTGACTTGTGATGACTGACGTTCATCAACAGTAGCTTGTGATGACTGACCTTCATCAACAGTGACTTGTGATGACTGACCTTCATCAACAGTGACTTGTGTTGACTGACCTTCAACACTGACTTGTGTTGACTGACCTTCATCAATACTGACTTGTGATGACTGACCTTCATCAACAGTGACTTGTGTTGACTGACCTTCAACACTGACTTGTGTTGACTGACCTTCATCAACAGTGACTTGTGATGACTGACCTTCATCAACAGTGACTTGTGATGACTGACCTTCATCAACAGTGACTTGTGATGACTGACCTTCATCAACACTGACTTGTGATGACTGACCTTCATCAACAGTGACTTGTGTTGACTGACCTTCAACACTGACTTGTGTTGACTGACCTTCATCAACAATGACTTGTGATGACTGACCTTCATCAACAGTGACTTGTGATGACTGACCTTCATCAACACTGACTTGTGATGACTGACCTACATCAACAGTGACTTGTGTTGACTGACCTTCATCAACACTGACTTGTGATGACTGACCTTCATGAACAGTGACTTGTGTTGACTGACCTTCAACACTGACTTGTGCTGACTGACCTTCATCAACAGTGACTTGTGATGACTGACCTTCATCAACAGTGACTTGTGATGACTGACCTTCATCAACACTGACTTGTGATGACTGACCTTCATCAACACTGACTTGTGTTGACTGACCTTCAACACTGACTTGTGTTGACTGACCTTCAACACTGACCTGTGTTGACTGACCTTCATCAACAGTGACTTGTGATGACTGACCTTCATCAACACTGACTTGTGATGACTGACCTTCATCAACAGTGACTTGTGTTGACTGACCTTCAACACTGACTTGTGTTGACTGACCTTCATCAACAATGACTTGTGATGACTGACCTTCATCAACAGTGACTTGTGATGACTGACCTTCATCAACACTGACTTGTGATGACTGACCTACATCAACAGTGACTTGTGTTGACTGACCTTCATCAACACTGACTTGTGATGACTGACCTTCATGAACAGTGACTTGTGTTGACTGACCTTCAACACTGACTTGTGCTGACTGACCTTCATCAACAGTGACTTGTGATGACTGACCTTCATCAACAGTGACTTGTGATGACTGACCTTCATCAACACTGACTTGTGATGACTGACCTTCATCAACACTGACTTGTGTTGACTGACCTTCAACACTGACTTGTGTTGACTGACCTTCAACACTGACTTGTGTTGACTGACCTTCATCAACAGTGACTTGTGATGACTGACCTTCATCAACAGTGACTTGTGATGACTGACCTTCATCAACAGTGACTTGTGTTGACTGACCTTCAACACTGACTTGTGTTGACTGACCTTCATCAACAGTGACTTGTGATGACTGACCTTCAACGCTGACTTGTGTTGACTGACCTTCATCAACAGTGACTTGTGATGACTGACCTTCATAACAGTGATTGTGTTGACTGACCTTCATCAACAGTGACTTGTGTTGACTGACCTTCATCAACAGTGACTTGTGTTGACTGACCTGCATCAACAGTGACTTGTGGTGACTGACCTTCATCAACAGTGACTTGTGGTGACTGACCTTCATCAACAGTGACTTGTGATGACTGACCTACATCAACAGTGACTTGTGATGACTGACCTACATCAACAGTGACTTGTGATGACTAACCTACATCAACAGTTACTTGTGATGACTGACTTACATCAACAGTGACTTGTGATGACTGACCTTCATCAACAGTGACTTGTGATGACTGACCTTCTCTCCGGGGATGGTGAGGAGGAGGCTGGAGGTGCCATATCTACGAGAGTCGTAGTGAGGAGTGATCATCTCTGGCGACGCCTGTAACAACACGATGTCTTATGATTTATTGTGGTCTTGTTGTGGCAATAATAAACTACTTTAAGTCATGACTGTGAAGGTGAATTATTTTCCAGGACGATGGATGGACGTCAGGTCTTACTGCTACTTCTATGTTGATGGACTTCTCCATTGTTTCTGCTTCCTCCTCTGTTTTCGACCGAAGAAGTCTACTGTGCTGGCGATATGTTTCGATAATGATGATACACAACTGTTGCACCTAGTGCATGTGGTAATAATGTTTACTTGTCTGTGTTTCTCATTTTTCTGATTCACGTATGCTCTTTCTCTCTCTCTCTCTCTCTCTCTCTCTCTCTCTCTCTCTCTCTCTCTCTCTCTCTCTCTCCCGTATATTCACTCGTAGCTGAGGTCTAGCCTAATGCTATCTATTCTAATGCACATATTTTAAAACCTATAACTGTATCTTAAGATATAACTACCTTAATTAAGCCTATATTAAGACGCTGGCTACCCCACACTCCGTGATAAGAGTCCATCCTGGTTGCCCACCCTCAGGGTTAAATCCTCCCCCCACCTGCCCACCCTCAGGGTTAAATACCTCCCACCTGCCCACTACACATGGTAACCTCACAACCCACTCCAAATCCATCACACATTTTGCCCGTTACTAAGGTAAACTGTAATAAATCGAAGGAAGACTTCCTGTTTAGCTAAGTGCTCCCCTCTCTCCCGCCCCGAGGGTTCATGTCATATATATTCACAACGCATATCTCGCGAAATAAATATGGCTGACTAGATTACTGAAAAAACTAAATTCCTTTCCGCCCCATCCCATCTGTCCTTGGCAACTTCAGCGATTTGCTGCAGTTAGACAGTTGATAACGTCAGGCTTCAGAATGTTGGCTGTACATCTGCTTAAACCTCCTCGACCCAGCAGGCTGGTTAAGAGGAGCCCCGAGGTTAATCACCGGTTGAGATACAATTAATCCCAGGCTCGAAGTTGTGAATCTGTAGACCTGAAAGCGGATTAAAGACCCCGAGGTATCGTAGCCGGTTAGAAAATAACGAGATCCAGGATACTCGTAGCGGTAGGAATAACAGACCAGATATCGTAGCCGGTTAAGAAAATAACAGACCAGATATCGTAGCGTTAGGAAAATAACAGACAGATCGCGTTAAGAAAATAACAGACCAGATATCGTAGCCGGTTAAGAAAATAACAGACCAGATATCGTAGCCGGTTAGGAAAATAACAGACCAGATATCGTAGCCGGTTAAGAAAATAACAGACCAGATATCGTAGCCGGTTAGGAAAATAACAGACCAGACATCGTAGCCGCTTAGGAAAATAACAGACCAGATATCGTAGCCGGTTAAGAAAATAACAGACCAGATATCGTAGCCGGTTAGGAAAATAACAGACCAGACATCGTAGCCGCTTAGGAAAATAACAGACCAGATATCGTAGCCGCTTAGGAAATTAACGAACCCAGGATCACTTTACCTAGCATATCTCTTTTTATTGTAAATGCTTTTCGTATAGTTAAGTTACCTGTTTTAACTTATAAGGTTTAAATAAGTTATTACAAGGACCCTAATGGAAATGAGCCTGCAAGGCTCCAGGCGGACATTAACCAAATCTTTAAATGGGCCGCAGAAAACAATATGAAGTTCAATGATGAGAAATTTCAATTACTCCGATATGGAAAACGTGAGGAAATTAAAACTAGCACGATAAGAGACAACACAATAAGTGTCAGGGGCCCAAGATTGTTCATCTGCCTCCCAGCATACATAGGGGGATTACCAATAGACCCCTGGCAGTCTTCAAGAAGGCACTGGACAGGCACTTAAAGTCAGTACCTGACCAGCCGGGCTGTGGTTCGTACGTCGGTTTACATGCAGCCAACAGTAACAGCCTGGTTGAACAGGTCCTGATCCACCACGAGGCCTGGTCATAGATCGAGCAGCGGGGGCGTTGACCCCCGAAGACCTCTCCAGGTATACTCCAGATATATGAAAGTTTGCCACTTTGAAGTCATCCTGGATTCTTTACACATATGCTATGATAAACACTGATCTCTGGCTGAAGGAGACTCGAACCTACGAACCTTAGGACAAGGTACGCAGTGCTTTACCAATATACCCACACTGGACCAATACATTGGCGTGTAGCATGAGCTACACGTTTGATCCAAGGCAGCCAGCTTTCAGGGAGAAGGCTTACAGCTTTTCATCTCATCCCCTGCATGCATCAGCCTTACTAGAGATTTGAACAATGCAAGGAATTCGAGTCTCCTTCAGCCAGAGATCAGTGTTTGTGTATATTTCGCCTGCTCTCGCGAATTCCTTGCATTGTTCAAATCTCTAGTAAGGCTGATGCATGCAGGGGATGAGATGAAAAGCTGTAAGCCTTCTCCCTGAAAGCTGGCTGCCTTGGATCAAACGTGTAGCTCATGCTACACGCCAAGGTATTGGTCCAGTGTGGGTAGATTGGTAAAGCACTGCGTACCTTGTCCTAAGGTTCGTAGGTTCGAGTCTCCTTCAGCCAGAGATCAGTGTTTGTGTATATTTCGCATGCTCTCGCGAATTCCTTGCATATGCTATGATGTATGATAATCTATGTAACTGTATTTGAGTATACCTGAATACAGTTGCTTATGTTATACCCTAGCAAGTAAGTTGTCCTGATTTGAATGTTCCTGGAATGATTAATATCGTCTGTTATAAAAATTAGACACCTGTGCAACATCTGGGTGTCTATTGTAGACATTTCGACCACCAGTGGCTTTCTCAATGAAAATTCAGGGCCATAATTGGATTATGTTCTTGAATTTGTATTGATAAAGGTACTGGATGGCGAAACATCTACAATAAAGACAGCTAGATGTTGCACAGGTGTCTAATTTTCATGTCGTCGGTATTGTATACCATTCATGTACAATTTACAAGAGTCAAGGAACGCGGGAAGAACTACAAGCCATAAATGAAATCGAAAGAAACCCAAAGTATTTCTTTTCTTATGCCAAATCAAAGCCGAGAACAACATCCAGTATTGGGCCCCTACTTAAACAAGATGGGTCCTACACAGATGACAGCAAGGAAATGAGTGAGCTACTCAAATCCCAATGTGACTCAGTTTTTAACAAGCCGCTAACCAGACTGAGAGTCGAAGACCTAAATGAATTTTTTATGAGAGAGCCACAGAATTTGGTAGACACACACATAGCTGATATTATTCTGACCCCAAAAGACTTCGAAAAGGCGATAAATGACATGCCCATGCACCCTGCCCCAGGGCCAGACTCATGGAACTCAATGTTCATCATGAACGAGCTTTTACCATCCTATGGAGAGGGAGCATAGACACTGGGGTCATCCCACAGTTACTAAAAACAACAGACATAGCCCCACTCCACAAAGGGGGCAGTAAAGCAATAGCAAAGAACTACAGACTGATAGAGCTAACATCCTATATCATAAAATCTTTGAAAGGGTCCTAAGCAAGATCACCACCCATCTAGATACCCATCAGTTACATAACCCAGGGCAGCATGGGTTTAGAGCAGGTCGCTCCTGTCTGTCCCAACTACCGGACCACTACGACAAGGTCCTGAATGCTCTAGAAGACAAACAGGATGAAGATGTAACATACACAGACTTTGCAAAAGCCTTGACAAGTGTGACCATAGTGTAATAGCACACAAAATGCGTGATAAAGGAATAACAGGAAAAGTCGGTAGATGGATCTATAATTTCCTAACAAACAGAACACAAAGAGTAGTAGTCAACAGAGTAAAGTCCGAGGCAGCTACGGTGAAAAGCTCTGTTCCACAAGGCACAGTACTCGCTCCCATCTTGTTTCTCATCCTCATATCTGACATAGACAAGGATGTAAGCCACAGCGCAGTGTCTTCCTCTGCAGATGACACCCGAATCTGCATGACAGTGTCTTCCATTGCAGACACTGCAAGGCTCCAGGCGGACATCAACCAAATCTTTAAATGGGCTGCAGAAAACAATATGAAATTCAATGATGAGATATTCCAATTACTCCAATGGAAAATGTGAGGAAATTAAAATTTCATTGGAGTATAAAACAAATTCCAACCACACAACAGAGCGAAAAACCAAAGTCAAAGACCTGGGAGTGATCATGTCAGAGGATCTCACCTTCAAGGACCATAACATTGTATCAATCAAATCTGCTAGAAAAATGACAGGATGGATAATGAGAACCTTCGAAACTAGGGATGCCAAGCCCATGATGACACTCTTCAGGTCACTTGTTCTATCTAGGCTGGAATATTGCTGCACAGTAACAGCACCTTTCAAGGCAGGTGAAATTGCTGACCTAGAAAATGTACAGAGAACCTTGACGGCGCGCATAACGGAGATAAAACACCTCAGTTACTGGGAACGCTTGAAGTTCCTGAACCTGTAGTCCCTGGAACGCAGGCGGGAGAGATACATGATTATAAACACTTGAAAAATCCTAGAAAGATTAGTACCAAATTTGCACACGAAAATCACTCCCTATGAAAGGAAAAGACTCAGTAGACGATGCAACATCCCCCCAATGAAAAGCAGAGATGCCACTTGCACGATAAGAGACAACACAATAAGTGTCAGGGGCCCAAGACTGTTCAACTGCCTCCCAGCATACATAAGGGGGATTACCAATAGACCTCTGGCTGTCTTTAAGAAGGCACTAGACAGGCACCTAAAGTCAGTATCTGACAAACCGGGCTGTGGTTCGTACGTCAGTTTGCGTGCAGCCAGCAGTAACAGCCTGGTTGATCAGGCTCTGATCCACCACGAGGCCTGGTCTCAGACCGGGCCGCGGGGGCGTTGACCCCCGAAACCCTCTCCAGGTATACGCCAGATATATGAAAATAAGTCAATTTGTTTGACTTCTTGGGGTTATCCTGGATTATCTACACGTATGTCATAATATATGATAATCTATGTAACTGTAGTTGTGTATACCTGAATAAACTTACTTAAGAAATACCCCAGTAAGTAAGTTGCCTTGATTTGAAAGTTCCTGGAACGATTAATAACTTCTGTTATGATAATTAGACACCTGTGCAACATCTGGGTGTCTTTATTCAATTCTTGAATTTATATTGATAAAACCACTGGTGGGCGAAACGTCTAAAATAAAGACACTCAGATGCTGCACAGGTGTCTAATTATTACGTCGTCGGTACTGTATACCACTGATGTACAAGTTGTGTTATATACCGGTAGGTGAAAGATGACGACCGCGTCAGGAGAC